TTGTTCAGTCTTCCAGAAAATACATAAGTTACTTAGCACATGATGAAATGCAGTAGGTGATTTACATTCTCAGAGAGCCCTAAGTGATGACAAGGTACACTGTGAGAATAAATTAAGGAGGAAGAAGGAGACAGGTCAAAGAGAAACTAACCGCCCAGCGTAGGTGGGAGCTGGAGAGGAGGGTTCAAAAAGGCCAGCAGAAGACTGGCTCAGAGGGAGCCAGAGAACTCCAGGGGGCTGAGGTCTGGGGCAGCAGAGCCAGTGGGACAGAGAAGGCATGGCCCCAGGAAGTGACTTCAGAACACAGCCCTGATGGTCAGATGCTACTTCATCCTGGGGGAAGGTTGCTGTAAGTTTCTGGTAAATGGAGATTTTCCTTTTTTCACTTTTTAAAAAATTTTGCAGAATAAATCCAGGGTATATTGTAGAACAGGCACACATGAAAATTAGTATAATTATCTGATTGATACATGTCTGTTCCTTGCCAGTTGTGGAGGGTGACACTTGACTGGCCAGTCAGACATTACAAACTGTGGGGCCTCAGTACTTGGCTGGGAATAAAAAGGCAAAAGTAAACTAGTGATATTTCTAACAATAATGATCATTGCTTACATATATTGAGAGTTTACAGAGTCTGTGCTAAGCACCCTCACACAGAATCTCATTTAATCCTTCCAACAACCCTGTGAGGAAGATATAATTATCTCCAGTTTACTGGGAAGACCTAAAACCTTATATGTGCCTGGCCTATCAAGGGGGGGTGCCTTGAGGCCAGCCTCTGCCCAGGAAGAGAAGACTCATGTGTCTAGAGGGCCCAGCTATAGAGCCAGTGGAGCTTCAGCCAGGGTGAGCAATGCCTAGGTGCAGCCTGGCCTTGACCTTAGACAACAGCATTCAGTCTCTCTACCTGACCCCATTTCTGAATGCTGAGCTGAGCAGGTGATCCAAGGAGGGACCCAGTTAACATAAATGGGCATGAAGCAGAGGTTAGAGCTCAGAACCCAAGTGGGAGAAGCCAAGTTATCACACCTAAGACACCAAGGCAGGCCTGATGGGCAGTGAGGGGAACTTGGTACTGCTAAGCCCTACCTGAGACCTGGGACCCCTGAGTGCCCATGACCAGGACAGAGCCTAATCCTAGAACAGGGCACAGCCATCAGGGGCTCCATGGCCATGCTCTTGTTTTCAGTTTAGAAGCTACAGGAGCAGACCCTCTCCAATACTGATCTACTATGAGAACCTATGAGGAAAAGCCAGGGAGGTTT